TTAAGACCGATGTTTTCTGCCCAAAACAAATCCTAGACCTCCACGCCACCACCTCCATCTCCCCTTTACCCCCAACTTACTGTAGTGCTATGAAAGATCCAAACTGGCATGCTGCTATGTGTGATGAATATAATGCTTTGTTAAAGAATGACACATGGGAACTAGTACCCCCCTCCCCCAACCAAAACATAATCACCGGTAAATGGCTCTTCCGACACAAATTTGGCCCATCTGGTGAGTTATCCAGGTATAAGGCCCGATGGGTGTTCCGCGGATTCAATCAGCGTTTTGGCGTTGACTACAGCGAAACTTTCAGCCCTGTCATCAAGCCTGCCACGGTCCGAATCGTCCTTAGCCTCGCGTTGTCTCATGGGTGGCCCATCCATCAGCTCGATGTCAAAAATTCCTTCCCCCATGGACAGCTTCAGGAAACCGTGTATGCTAGCCAGCCCTCAGGATTTCAGGATGCAAATCGCCCTCATCATGTCTTCCGGCTCAAGAAAGCTCTTTATGGTCTGAAACAGGCACCCCGATCATGGTATCACAGATTTGCAGGTTTCATTCAGACTATTGGATTTCGCATCTGCAAATCTAACACCTCTCTCTTCGTCTTCACGCATGCCTCGGGGACCACCTACCTCCTATTATATGTTGATGATATCGTCCTCACTGCCTCCTCGCCAGGGCTTCTTCAGAGTCTCATTCAGAAACTCAAGGCTGAGTTTGCCATGACAAACATGGGTGATCTGCACTTTTTCCTCGGCATTAATGTTCATCGCACTGCTCATGGCCTTTTCCTCCATCAGACACAGTTCACTCACGACATCCTTGAGAGGGCAGGGATGGTCTCCTGCCGCCCCATATCCACTCCAGTCGACACAAAGGCTAAGATTTCTTCCTCCTCTGGCACGGCACTTCTAGATCCTTCTCTTTACAGGTCCATCGTAGGTGCTCTACAGTATCTCACATTCACCAGACCTGATATCACTTATGCCGTTCAGCAGCTCTGCCTCTACCTTCATGCGCCCCGCGACTCTCACCTCACGGCCATGAAGAGAGTTCTCCGTTATCTTAGCGGCACCGCCACTCACGGTATCTACCTGACTCGCTCCTCGACAGACTATCTCCAGGCTTATTCTGATGCTGATTGGGCTGGCTGTCCCGACACCAGACGTTCCACTTCCGGGTACTGTATTTTTCTGGGTGACAACCTGATTTCCTGGTCTTCAAAACGCCAGGTCACCACTTCCCGCTCCAGTGCAGAGGCAGAATATCGAGCTGTGGCAAATGCAGTTGCTGAGACTTCTTGGGTCCGAAATCTTCTTCTTGAGCTCCAGCAACCACTACGACGCGCCACCCATGTCTTCTGCGACAACGTCAGCGCCGTCTATCTCTCATCAAACCCAGTTCAGCACCAGCGCACCAAGCACGTTGAAGTCGACATACACTTTGTGCGAGACAAAGTCGCACTCGGCCATATCCGAGTCCTTCACGTGCCCTCTTCTTCACAGTATGCTGACATCTTCACCAAAGGACTACCTTCTCTACTCTTCCTCGAGTTTAAGTCCAGTCTGGGTATCAGACCCCCTCCTCATCCGACGTAGCCGGGAGCATGTTAAATATATTCTATATTTAATGTAANGTGGCAAATGCAGTTGCTGAGACTTCTTGGGTCCGAAATCTTCTTCTTGAGCTCCAGCAACCACTACGACGCGCCACCCTCGTCTTCTGCGACAACGTCAGCGCCGTCTATCTCTCATCAAACCCAGTTCAGCACCAGCGCACCAAGCACGTTGAAGTCGACATACACTTTGTGCGAGACAAAGTCGCACTCGGCCATATCCGAGTCCTTCACGTGCCCTCTTCTTCACAGTATGCTGACATCTTCACCAAAGGACTACCTTCTCTACTCTTCCTCGAGTTTAAGTCCAGTCTGGGTATCAGACCCCCTCCTCATCCGACGTAGCCGGGAGCATGTTAAATATATTTTATATTTAATGTAAATATATTGTTTCCTATTATTGTCTCCTACCTTGTATAGGATTAGGAATATATTGTTTCCTATTATTTTCTCTTACCTTGTATAGGATTAGGAATCCTTGTATATATATAGACATGTACTCCCACATATTCAATCAATGAAATTAACCTTTCTACACAAATTGTATTAGACATCAATGATTTATTAATGCAATCAAAAGGATTACTCAAAATGGCATAAATTTTGATTGTCTAAAGAGACATTCATGTTTCCCTCAAGTTGACTTTTCAAGTATAACACCTTGGAGCCGTTGTGAAGAGCCAACGGTCTGGTGAAAATCAATTGTCTTAAAGGGAATTCAATTTTCCCTGAGTTAACCTTACAACAATTAAGCTTTCCAACCATTGAGGGGAGCCAACATTCATGCAAAACTCGATCGTCCTTTTGGACTTTCAAATTTGTGATCTTCCTTGCAAAGTCTAAGATAACAAGAGAACCTAGAAAGTAGATTGTCTTCTTAGACAATCAATTTTGAGAAGGTCATTGGAAAGGTTAGGAAAAGGCCAAACTTTTCAACAATTGTTTGGACATTCTAATTTTGGGTCAACCAATAAAAAACCAAGTGACCCAAAGATATGAACATTCGATTGTCTATATAGAGAGTAGGCAATCGATTGTCCCATAGTTTTAGCTAGATCCTTGTGTGATAAATATTTGATTGTCTAACAAGATAATTGATTTTACATAACATTCATGCATCCTTCCAAATTTTGGGACACAATCCAATGGCCAAGAGATCAAGAACCCATCCCCACATTTTAAATCATTTTGTGTGTTTAGATTCAAGGTTTAGAAATTTGATAAGTGTTCAAAAATATTTTTGTTTGACCAAGAGATGTATTATTATGTGTTGATCTTACAAGAGTTCTACCTAACGGCCTAAGTCTTCCAAACTTCGGGTCTTTAGTCTTGAACTCTTGATCTCCTTATGCTTGTCTTGTCTTGAGCAATGCTTGGGCAACACATCTTCATCTTTGCTTGTCATGTAAACTTGCGCAAAAACATTACTTTAAACATTCATAGTTATTCATCAAAATATGTACTTGAAAATCATGCTAGCAAATACAAATGTACATATCAATAATTTTCACATAAGGCCCAACAATTTTCCTTTTTGAAATAGCAAACAATCAAAAAAATAGATATAAAATCACAC